TCTACTCTTTATTTCAGTCTTTTATTGGTTAGCATCCCATTTCTAATTCCTGCTTTAGTGCTGCTGCCTAACGAGAGGCAGAGAGGGAGCAGTCTTGCGAACGCCTTTACGGAGCAGGGAAAAGAGCGTTAGTTGAGGTGGTCTAGTACATAAAGGAGATATCATGTGAACTGGTCTGGAGAGGCGGCGTTGGGTTTACCAGGCTCTATCAACAGCGAGAAGACGTGGGATGTACCGGATGTTGACCGGGCAGGCCTACATAGCTACAAAGGTCATCTCTACAGAAAACCCAACATTTACAGGGGGAGTGAAGCACAGACTATGACAAAGAGGAAAGTCGCACAGCGAACAGAAAAACTGAAAGAGCGATCTTTTAAAGGGGGGAAGAGCGTGGTGTGCGTTACTTATGCGAACAGATACAAGTAGTATTTGACAGGAATTAAAAGTAGAATGCTTACCAATAGAAGATTGAAATAAGGAATAGAAGAAGGAAATTGAGAGCAATCGAAATAAAAAACAGAACCAGACGAATGATGGATTATACAAAAAAACAACTGAATGAAGATGTGCAGATGATGTATTTAATGTAGGATTTTTGTATTTTACAAACTCACTGAGTAATTCTGGAGAAAACAGTAAATTATTTTACCGTACTTTAGTTTTCATTTACTACATCACTACTACTATTACTGCCACTACTATTTACACTACTATTACTGTTAGTACTACTACTACTACTACTACTACCACTAATGACATTAATAGTAACTGTCTTACACAATGCTGTGAACTTTATTTCATAAACCAATGATAGTAGTAACAAACATCATGAGGCAAGCTTTAACTTGGAATCCTGAAGCTAAAAAGAAAAGAGGAAAACTCAAGAACACATTAGATCTACAGGCAGACATCAAAAGAATGAATAGAATTTGGGAAAAACTCGAGAGTCCACAGCATAGTAGATTAGAGATTCCGGGTTTTCGGTCTATGCTCTATGAAGGGCAATAGGCGATAATTATCAAGTAACCAATAATTCTCAGCACTAATTTTGTAATATTGTTACCGATTTCTATTTATCCTAACTTCAAATTATAATTACTTAATAATACTTTAAAAACTGTTTCTCAATAGTCAGTGTCTCTTACTCATTTTCGGTAATGATCAAAGTTTCCCTCGTGTTCAGTTTCTACAATCACCTTTTTTGTTCAATGTGTTAACTTGTTTTTTATATATAGAATAAAAAAGTAGGGGAATATACTGATAACTATAATGTTTTCATTTGATTTTTATAGATTAAATCAATAAATAATCCTAGTTAAATAACCAATGAAGATCACGGAGCACTGACCATCTGTTTCGTCCTATTGCAGAACTCTTCAAAAGTGCTCACTCACAACCCTACCATTCGGGGTCGAACCTAGGACATTGAATGTTGCTTGTAAACCCTTAACATTGAGCTCATCAGTATTTAATATCATGATAAATTGTACTCCTTTCATGATAGCGTATAAGTACATACAGCAGTTGATATCCATAACCATTCAGGTTAAAATAACTGGGAAACCAAAAGTTTGATAGTAATATGTAAATTGTTTTAAAAAAATAGGTGACTCGAAACTCTTCAGAGGGCCGTCGTACTGAAGATAATTTCATTACTAAATCGTCAATTAAATATAAATTTAGGAAATATAAAACATTAATTAACAACTATTTCATGTAAATACATTTACAATGCTTAAACACTACTTAATTATTTGAGTCTGTTACTACTCGTGGAGAAGCATAGGCCGCCCACCGAAATTCTCCAACTCTGTCCTTTTCTCTCATTTACAGATTTTCCCAGATACTATTCACGTCTTTGATATCCGCCTTCAATTCCCTATGCAATGTGAACCTTGGCATTCCCGTTTCCTTTTTTCCTGCAGGATTTTAAGTAAGTGCTTGTTTTTTGATGCAATCTGATGACTTCCGAAATGTATGTCCTATCTACCTCCAATGTCTTTTCTTAATTTCCTCTTCAGATGGAAACTGGTTTATCCTCTGCCACAGTAATTTGTCGCTCGTGATTTCGAGCCAATGGGTCTGGATTATCTGGAGTAGACAGTTGTTTATTAATACCCATACATTTTCAATGACGGTTGTTAGAAAAACATTAACCAACAAGGTCATTTAATGTTTAGACATTAGGACAACCCCTAGAGTAGAAGCATTTTGAGTGAAGAAAAAAACGGTTGACTAAAATTTACCATAAATATATATTAAAATAATTATTTAGACTAAAGCATACCCTAAATAGTAATCGATCTCCATTGGAATTTATCTAAAACTCTCTCCATATTCAAATTCATTTTGTATTCTTTGTTTGGATCTTCCCGTTGATGTTTAAGACTGTAATTGACCAGTCTCTTATTGGTAATCTTATTAAATTATTGAATTCTGTGAATTAAAATTGGGTTAAGTCGATGAGTAACTAGCTTTTAACTATAATCATTCAGAGTGATTCTTTTGTTACATTAGTTTACATCAGTTTAAGATTGCATTTACAATTTACTCTTTTGCCCTTACAAATACACACACACACATTCTTTATTCTGTATATTTTTTTAATAATAATAATAATAATAACTATATGAATAAGAAGAAAATGCTTATAGTGTGATGAATACATCTTTAAAAACATCCATTCATTTCACTAAGTCTGAACTCCAATGGTAGGTGTTCATTTTTGTATAGCCCTGAAATTAAAGAAGTTACTAGTTTGTATAATTCACAATTTCAGTTCAGTTGGAATATTTTAAAAAACTAAGTATTACTGGATAGTTCTTTTTTCACAGTATGGAACTACTCAAGCAATATCAACAAAGACGTGAACTGTGAGTTTTCAGATCTCATCATGAATCTTGAATCATTAGAATTTCAGAGTCTATATCCAATGATTCAATTCCAAGTTCAATCAATTTGTGAGGTAGTGAGGCAATCAATCAATGCAGGCAATGACAACTATTTCAATTCTGACTAATTTGAACTCCACTAATCACTACTTCCCACTTCAATTTCAGGAACATATAGAAGTAATTTTACTGGTGAGCGGAGTATTATAATTTAGTTAAAATAGTTTCATGGAGATTTGTATTATTTGTAGATTGTACTCGTCACAGGTTCACCTTAGTTGGGATAAAATTGAAAGCTATAGAACGCTGGACAGTAATTTGAAAAACGATTTGATACTCTCTGACTTTCAATAATTCACAAATAGACGCCAGTCCTCAATTCTTTTTAAAAAAAATCTATCTTCAATAAGAAGCAATTACATCAAACCCTCTTCTCCATCAGTAAGAACTAACCTTGAGGTCACTTACTGAAACTCTAACAACAGCAAAAAATACCTGTATAATCGATAGTGAGTTAAACTATCCCAAGAGTGAAACAGTCATCAGTCATCATAACCTATGCATAACATAGATGAAGAGTAAAAACATTATAATAAATTATTAGACTTTATATAGTTGAGATCATGAGTTAATTGAAGCTAGATCACCATGGAAAACCTGGAAGCACTGGACGGCCGTTTCGTTCTATATTGGGACTCCACAGCAGTGCGCATCCACGATCCCGCCTCGCGAGATTCGTACCCAGGACATATAAGTCTCGCTCACGAGCGCTTAACCTCTAGACCACTGAGCCGGCATCCAACGGTGTTATTGTTTAACTTCAACCGATCCACGAAATTGAGCGACACATCCATCATTGTCTGTAGTGAGTTACTGTCTCACATCAGACCTTGTTGAACTCCACTGGTCACTGCCTCTCACTAGAACTCCAGGAAATACCGCATGCAGCCAGTCAGTAGTGAGCATATGATCATTATTAGAAGTGGGTTTTGTGGAGATTTTAGTAATTTTATATAGTTGAGATCTTGAGTCGCTAGGCGGGATCGTGGATACGCACTGCTGAGGAGTCCCACAATGGGACGAAACGCTCGTCCAGTGTTTCCAGATTTTCCATGGTGATCTAGTTTCAATTGACTCATGATCTCAACTATTAAAATAATCATTTCTTGATAAAATGATCAGAATTATACAGTAAGAAGACTTTTTGAATTCTCCTATTTACTTTTGTCATTATTTTTAAAAAAAAAGCCAATAGATGAAATTGTATAAAACAAACCCGATAGGTTGTTTAATAAATAAATAGTTAAACAAAAATACATTCATCCACTGATTGGTTAAAATAAGCTAATCATTGATTGGTTCATAAATGTATCAGTTTTCAACTATGAAAAAGTGGGGGAGTAATGAATAAGCGATTACACTGACAAATATATCCACCCCCAACAACTTACAGAAAGTATCAGAATATTAGAGAGGTTTTGTAAAGAAGAGAAAAAACCTGCAAATGTCATGGTATGTGTATGTATGTCTTGTGACCACGAACAGGGTCACATACTTCATTTATTGAGAAAATATCATAAGGGTCCTTGTTTATCAATGAATTTACTGTATTTCTGTCTGTATACAGAGTGTGTATATGTTAGCATAGAACTCATGCAAATTCGCAATTCGATACATTCCTTGTCAATGAATGGTCAGTTATGATGTTCATGCTTTTATTCTGTTTGCTTGTATTTTTATAACAGAATTTTTTCTAGCTTAGAAGGCAGTCAGTCAAATAAAGGGAATTTTATTTTATTCACTTTGTCAATATCTCTTTTATTTTTGTATTATAATAATAAAAAGAAATAACATTCGTCTGCCTCCAAAATATACTGTTTATCACGTGCTTTTCACGATGCTCAGTAAGTCACCCCTATCTCTAAAGCAGAGTACTGAAGAAAATGAGACTTTATATCTCTCTTAACAATACAATACAATAAATATAGATGAGAATATATGTGCATAGATATGTGTTTATGTTTATAGTTTAAACTAGAAATGGTAAATTTCAACAAACTCACATTCATTAAACATACTATATCTAGTTGAAAGCATAGGGGTGTTGGATGAGTTTAGTATGTATGTATGTGAGAGTGAACCAGTAGTTGATTAACATAAATGGAACAATACTAATTATAACAATGAGAATTTTTTTTTAAAAAAAAATATATCTAGAATAGAGTAGAATAGGGAGAACAAAACAAGAAACATTGATCCATTATTATACACAAGAAAAGGAAAATTGTTAACATACACAAAAATTACAACAATTCTTCTTCTTTTCTTTTCCAATTATAGAATAAAGAGTATGTATTAACTTAACTAGAAAACATCAAGTTGGTGAAACAAATGAAATCAAATAAATAGTTTGATGTGTAATGATGATAACATTATCAATGAAAATTGGATCATTATTGATTTTTTAAAATTCGTTTTAATGTCAAATCGATGCAACAGTACCAACAACACATTTGATAAAATCCATATTCAATTTTTGATTGGAAAGAAAGAAAAAAAAATTATATTGATTTGATTTTATCAATTTACATTTACTTATCCATAGTTGTTTTCTTTTCTAATATCGTTTCTCGTCTAATGATTACCTATTACTATTTACTAATAGTATTACATTTAAAGTAAATCTAAGTAACAACATGTGTATGTGTTTTCATTTGATTATGCACAACATTAAATAAATTCCTGTAAAGTAATTAATCACTGGTGAGTTATTCATGAATTATGTTTTTTTGTATCAATATTTAATATTTACCTCATAAAAAAGTTTCATATTAAGATTGGTTTATTGTATAGATTAATATTCATTGTCCCGCACACAGGACTGGGACCCCGGACCTTCGGTTCAGCGTGTGAACGCTTAACTCCTAGACCACTGAACCGACATCAAACGGTGATGATATCTAGCTTTAACGAGTCCACTAAATTGCCAGACCATCTGAAGAGTCTCATACTAGGACGGGCGGCCATCCAGGTTTTCAATGGCGGTCTAACATCGATCGATTCATGATCTTCATCAAAAACTTGCAGTCCTATAGAAAACACACCAAGAGTGAGATAGTCATTAATAATGACAAATGGATAATTGTTGAGCTTAAATGTAAATTAATTAGATTTGAAATATGTATTGTTGAATATTGAATTAGTAAATGTAATATTTAAACATTTGCCTCCAGATCTTAGGACTATAAGTTGAATCCAAGGTGAAGCAGTGAAAGTAGATAACTAAATAATCCCATACTAGTATACTACATCGATGCAATATGGTTTGATTTAGAGTCCTACTAAAACTAAGATAAATTTGTCATGAATGTAACTGATATTTCCCAGCCATTTCATTGATGAATAAGTATATTTTTTGGAGAAAAAAAAAAGAGAAACAGAAGAAAGACAATTTTTTTTTGTCATAACTCTTACTTGTTTTTCCATTGATATCATGATTATTTAAAATGTTTGAGAAAAAAACTTTTAATAATTCTTAAGCATCTTTTTCAACAATGTAAACTTTGAATTCACTTAGTATTGTTTGTTCGGATCTTCCCATCGATGTGTTTAGGACTGCAACTGGTCAGTCTCTAATTGGCATATGTGCATACTGTGCGTATTGCCTCGATATACCTTAATTCACAAGCATGGTAAGCAGAGATGGATAGTGGCTAGCAGTGGAATCCAGGACGCGCGTTTCGTCCTATTTGGGACTCGTCAGCTGGATGTACCTGCATCTCAGAGTTGATGTTCACTCTGGGACTCGAACCCAGTACCCTCGCTTCAAACGCCATCGCGTTATCCACTCGGCCACTGAGTCCTGTAAACTTTACTTGTAAACTTTACTTCAGGAGTTCAAACCAAAAAACAAAAACAACAACATAAATTACAAATCGTTAATTATGTGAAAATTACATCATTATTGTATCATTTTTAATATTGACGTTTCATTTTAAGATAATTAAACACAGAGATAATCTCCTGAAGGAGTTATACCCCCCCCCAAAAAAAAACGTTATTATACTTATATTAAGTTAGAATTCAGTAGTCTATATTTATTTTTAATATTGTTCGCAATTAAGTCACCTTATCATTACTCGTTTGTTTTTATTTATTGTAAAAGATTATGATATTCATTATCGAGTTACTGTTTTCATCACATTTAAACATGATTGAATTTACATTAGTTGATTACATTTTTGTAGTAGAAGAAGAAGAAGAAGAAGAAAAAACTTCTTAGCCATTTACTACAAATTTACAATCGTAATAATAACTATTAAGCAACTTAATAGAATTATTATTATTGCTATTATTTAAGTGAATTATTTTCAGCAGATATTGTTTATTTTAATAATTGAAATTATGAGGCAATTGAAGTTAAACGACTATGGAAAACCTGGAAGCACTGGACGGTCGTTTCGTCCTAGTTTCAATGGACTCATGATCGTAACTATTAAAATTATTATAATATCCACAAAAAACACCCTTCAGATATTGTTTCATCTATGATGAATGGAGTGTGTGTGTGTGTGTGTGTGTGGGAATAAGAGAAAAAGAGACAAGTAATTGTCATCAAAAATTGATATGAATTTATAAAATATTGTTTTAGATTTAAAAAGTAAATTCTAGCTCACAAGAATTGTTTTATTTCAATTGAAAATTCGAATAATTGAACATTTAATAGATAAACTTGATGAATATATATTTTAATAGAACATTACTTGTAATCATTAACATGATCACATTGTAGACGATCATTTAAAATTTAACTTCTATGTAATTTGAATATGATACATGTTCTGGAGAGATTTTTTTAAATGATGAATAGGGCTCAAACCATAAGAGGATCTTGGATATATATCCATTACTAAAGTTTATATAGATATATAGATCAGAACGTCACCATTGTTTAATAGTTCCTCATGGTTTTCGATTAAGAATAAATCTACAACAGGATTTAATCTTGACTAACTTCAATCCGTCATAATTGTCTACAACGTCAAGTAATGAACTGAATTTCAATTGGACACTGTTTCTTTTTCTATCTATTATTGTTTTTTTTTTAATTCTACTCTCAAAACTAAATATAATCATTTAATTGAAGTGATTCTGTAGTGATTATTTGAATGTACAGATAATAATCGTGTTACAAATTTATCACTTAGTTTGAGTATTATTCAAAGAAACAAAATGCTCATTGCTGCATATGTTCAATTCTCTCTAGTTTTCAATGATGCCTTAACTGAGATGACTCGGCGACGAACATCTTTTACAAATTGTAAAGATACAATTAATTTAATCAACAACTAATTAATAAGAAACTAATTTCATTGTAATAAAATGAATATGAATAATTGTTTTTATTCAACTTTGAAATAAACACTCAGTTTTACAAACTCGTTTCACTTACATTAAGTTATGTAGAATCTATAGAAATATTTAAAAAAAAAAAAGGAATTTGCAAAATATAGAATAATCATATTTTAAATGAATAGTGTTGAGATTTATTGCCTAATATAAAAACTTAATTTTTACCGTGATATTATATCATGATTACTTACTTAATCCTATTAACTCTTGTGGAGGAATATAGGCATTCAAACAGCATTCTCCAGACAACTCTCTTCTGAACAATCCTTTACACTTCTCTCCAGTTCACATTCATTCTTTTTAGATCTCCTTCCGATTCCTAGTATAGTGTCTCCTTTCGACTTCCACTTCTCTGTTTCCCTTCAACATTATAAGTTAGTGTTTGTCTCATCGTGAAATCTAATGATTTCCCTAATGTATTTCTTATCCACCTCCAATGTCTTTTCCTAATTTCATCTCCAATTCGAAACTGGTTTGTTCTTTACCATAATTGACTCTTACTGATGTATCCCATCAACAGACGTTGATTGATTTGCGTAGACAATTGTTAATAAACATTTGTACTCTTTTGATGATGGTTGTAGTAGTTCTGAAAGTTTCAGTTTCATACAGTAGAACTGTTTCGACATTTGTATTGAAGATTGTGACTTTGATGTTGACTTGAAGACAGTTGTTCTGAGTTTCATATGTTCTTCAACTGTAAGAATTGTGTGATTACTTTATCCATCCTTGCCTTCACATCGGCACCCAATCCTCCACATTCATAAATGATTCTGTCCAAGTACGTGAAATTTTCCACACTTTACAGACTTTATCCATCGAGAATGATTGTGTTTGTGCTCTCCGAGTCGTGTTTGAGGATGTTGCTTTTTCTTTTGTATATGTTGAGTCCTACTGATTCAGAAGATGCTTTTACAATGGCTGTCTTGATTTGTATTTGTTGGTGCATTGTTAAAATACTGATTACCTTAGAAGAAAAACAATTATAAAGCCATGTTTTACACCTGTATTTTTCATAAGAAAAATAATTATTTCCCAGTTTTAATTTATTCTAAGAATTCTACTCGAAATTCAACATTCAATTTTCTTTCTCATAATTCTGTGAACATTTTTTTCTATGATTCAACAGAATTGTTAATTTTCTTCATGATTAGAATACCCACAGTTTTTATAAAGATTTCACCAGAAATCTATTCCACTTCTCATTTATAATACTGATTATATAATACATGAGGTTATTGATTAAGTTCAACAAATGAAATGTATCTAGTTGAAGGTTTTTACCTATTTCAATTTTATGTCCGGTTAACAAAAATTTATCTGACATTGTACTAAGAATCATAAACTTTGAATAATTCAAAATTAGGTTTCTATCACCCTTATATTATAATAGGGGAAATTTTTTATGTTTAGGATGGTTTTAATGTGAACATATAATTTTAACAGTTGAATTCATGAGTCTATCTAAGTTAGACAACCAGTGTAAACCTGGAAGCACTGAGCGGAAATGTCTTTCTACTATGGGACTCCTCACCAGCGCGGTCATGATTCCGTGCTCAAGACCGAACTCAGGACAGTCGAGCTCGCGCGCGGACGCTCACCTTTTAAACCACTGAGCCGGTATCCAACGATGTTAATGTTTAACTTAAATCGATCAATGATCTTGTACAACTTTTCATCCATTGTCTGAGGTGGATAACTGTTTCAAACCCTACAGGGATTAGACTTCATTGATCACGGTTTCTCACTAGAACTCCAAGAAATTCATCTAGTCACTAGTGAGCACATGATTGTTATGAGAATGGTGATTTGTGGAGATTGTAATAATTTAACAACTGAATTCATGATTCAATCTAAGCTAGACCATCATTAAAAACCCGGAAGTACTGAACGGCCGTTTCATCTTAGTATGGGACTCCTCAGCTATGCGCCAGTTAAATGCAATTAATTGTCATTTTGTTAATTAATGTCAGTAAGTGCAAACGATTGATTTTATATCCGCTTGTATATTGTCTTTAGGCATTTTAACATACAGTCTAATGATAAGTATCCTAGTATTAGAATATTTTACCAATCTTTTTAGAACAGGGACGATACTGATCAGTATACGAATGTATAGTTTACCATAAACTTCACTCATCATTTCCACCTATGAATTAATTTAAGAATAACATAAAAAAATAATTGTAGTTTACATCTATTATTCACCCCCACCCCATCATCAATGACAGTTTTTCACACCTTACATCTTTGCACACAAACCTGTCTCCCAGTTGTTATCATTATTGTTATTATCTTTTTAAGATGAGTATTAAAGTTAATAATTGTACAGTGGTTACCTTTTCAATAAT